AAGTCGGGGGACTGTGTGAAGAAATGGTTGTAATTCCTACACGGTTCATACTACATTTTTGAAAAAAGCCTTAAATGAAAGCTGAGAGTCTGCACTTTAAGCAGGTATTCATTGTTTCATTTAAAACCCATTGTGGTGGTGTACAGAGCCAAAATGACGACAACTGTATCATTGTCCAAATAATTTTGAACTTGACTGTAGATCTTCTGTGCTGCTCGGGGGGTGACGATGTGTGTGAAGCATCAATGTGTTCACAGGCATGGATGTAAACTGTAAGTGCAACTTGAGTGGTGCATGGAGGTATACAACCAGAAGGCAGGAATTCTAGTTTTCATTGTAAGACACAAAGTTCTGTTCAACAAGTCTTAATTCACTGTACGTCATATCTGTTTAGTTTTAATATTTTTCCATTCTGTTGTGTGCAGCCACAGGAGGTGATGTGGCAGCTCTGTGCTGTAAAGATCACTGAGGCCATACAGTACGTGGTGGAGTTTGCCAAACGCATCGATGGATTCATGGATCTCTGTCAAAATGACCAGATTGTGCTGCTAAAAGCTGGTGAGAGGGACCGCCATGGGTCATAATATGCTTCATTCAAGGATAAGGCCAGTGCCATTCAATATTTCCCTTATTGTTAAAAAATCCCATGTGCTAAACCAACCCAAGAACTGTTAAGAATCACATCTGTGGAACATACTGTTGCACTGGGTGACATGTTACATTAGTAACTGTTGCACTGGGTGACATGTTACATTAGTAACTGTTGCACTGGGTGAAATGTAACATTAGTAACTGTTGCACTGGGTGACATGTTACATTAGTAACTGTTGCACTGGGTGAAATGTAACATTAGTAACTGTTGCACTGGGTGACATGTTACATTAATAACTGTTGCACTGGGTGAAATGTAACATTAGTAACTGTTGCACTGGGTGACATGTTACATTAATAACTGTCGCACTGGGTGACATGTTACATTAGTAACTGTGGCACTGGGTGAAATGTAACATTAGTAACTGTTGCACTGGGTGACATGTTACATTAGTAACTGTTGCACTGGGTGAAATGTAACATTAGTAACTGTTGCACTGGGTGACATGTTACATTAATAACTGTCGCACTGGGTGACATGTTACATTAGTAACTGTGGCACTGGGTGAAATGTAACATTAGTAACTGTTGCACTGGGTGACATGTTACATTAGTAACTGTTGCACTGGGTGAAATGTAACATTAGTAACTGTTGCACTGGGTGACATGTTACATTAATAACTGTCGCACTGGGTGACATGTTACATTAGTAACTGTGGCACTGGGTGAAATGTAACATTAGTAACTGTTGCACTGGGTGACATGTTACATTAGTAACTGTTGCACTGGGTGAAATGTAACATTAGTAACTGTTGCACTGGGTGACATGTTACATTAATAACTGTCGCACTGGGTGACATGTTACATTAGTAACTGTGGCACTGGGTGACATGTAACATTAGTAACTGTTGCACTGGGTGACATGTTACATTAGTAACTGTTGCACTGGGTGAAATGTAACATTAGTAACTGTTGCACTGGGTGACATGTTACATTAGTAACTGTTGCACTGGGTGAAATGTAACATTAGTAACTGTTGCACTGGGTGACATGTTACATTAATAACTGTTGCACTGGGTGACATGTTACATTAGTAACTGTGGCACTGGGTGAAATGTAACATTAGTAACTGTTGCACTGGGTGACATGTTACATTAGTAACTGTTGCACTGGGTGAAATGTAACATTAGTAACTGTTGCACTGGGTGACATGTTACATTAATAACTGTCGCACTGGGTGACATGTTACATTAGTAACTGTGGCACTGGGTGAAATGTAACATTAGTAACTGTTGCACTGGGTGACATGTTACATTAGTAACTGTTGCACTGGGTGAAATGTAACATTAGTAACTGTTGCACTGGGTGACATGTTACATTAATAACTGTTGCACTGGGTGAAATGTAACATTAGTAACTGTTGCACTGGGTGACATGTTACATTAGTAACTGTTGCACTGGGTGAAATGTAACATTAGTAACTGTTGCACTGGGTGACATGTTACATTAGTAACTGTTGCACTGGGTGAAATGTAACATTAGTAACTGTTGCACTGGGTGACATGTTACATTAATAACTGTCGCACTGGGTGACATGTTACATTAGTAACTGTGGCACTGGGTGAAATGTAACATTAGTAACTGTTGCACTGGGTGACATGTTACATTAGTAACTGTTGCACTGGGTGAAATGTAACATTAGTAACTGTTGCACTGGGTGACATGTTACATTAATAACTGTCGCACTGGGTGACATGTTACATTAGTAACTGTGGCACTGGGTGAAATGTAACATTAGTAACTGTTGCACTGGGTGACATGTTACATTAGTAACTGTTGCACTGGGTGAAATGTAACATTAGTAACTGTTGCACTGGGTGACATGTTACATTAATAACTGTCGCACTGGGTGAAATGTAACATTAGTAACTGTTGCACTGGGTGACATGTTACATTAGTAACTGTTGCACTGGGTGAAATGTAACATTAGTAACTGTTGCACTGGGTGACATGTTACATTAGTAACTGTTGCACTGGGTGAAATGTAACATTAGTAACTGTTGCACTGGGTGACATGTTACATTAATAACTGTCGCACTGGGTGACATGTTACATTAGTAACTGTGGCACTGGGTGAAATGTAACATTAGTAACTGTTGCACTGGGTGACATGTTACATTAGTAACTGTTGCACTGGGTGAAATGTAACATTAGTAACTGTTGCACTGGGTGACATGTTACATTAATAACTGTCGCACTGGGTGACATGTTACATTAGTAACTGTGGCACTGGGTGAAATGTAACATTAGTAACTGTTGCACTGGGTGACATGTTACATTAGTAACTGTTGCACTGGGTGAAATGTAACATTAGTAACTGTTGCACTGGGTGACATGTTACATTAATAACTGTCGCACTGGGTGAAATGTAACATTAGTAACTGTTGCACTGGGTGACATGTTACATTAGTAACTGTTGCACTGGGTGAAATGTAACATTAGTAACTGTTGCACTGGGTGACATGTTACATTAGTAACTGTTGCACTGGGTGAAATGTAACATTAGTAACTGTTGCACTGGGTGACATGTTACATTAATAACTGTCGCACTGGGTGACATGTTACATTAGTAACTGTGGCACTGGGTGAAATGTAACATTAGTAACTGTTGCACTGGGTGACATGTTACATTAGTAACTGTTGCACTGGGTGAAATGTAACATTAGTAACTGTTGCACTGGGTGACATGTTACATTAATAACTGTCGCACTGGGTGACATGTTACATTAGTAACTGTGGCACTGGGTGAAATGTAACATTAGTAACTGTTGCACTGGGTGACATGTTACATTAGTAACTGTTGCACTGGGTGAAATGTAACATTAGTAACTGTTGCACTGGGTGACATGTTACATTAATAACTGTCGCACTGGGTGAAATGTAACATTAGTAACTGTTGCACTGGGTGACATGTTACATTAGTAACTGTTGCACTGGGTGAAATGTAACATTAGTAACTGTTGCACTGGGTGACATGTTACATTAGTAACTGTTGCACTGGGTGAAATGTAACATTAGTAACTGTTGCACTGGGTGACATGTTACATTAATAACTGTCGCACTGGGTGACATGTTACATTAGTAACTGTGGCACTGGGTGAAATGTAACATTAGTAACTGTTGCACTGGGTGACATGTTACATTAGTAACTGTTGCACTGGGTGAAATGTAACATTAGTAACTGTTGCACTGGGTGACATGTTACATTAATAACTGTCGCACTGGGTGACATGTTACATTAGTAACTGTGGCACTGGGTGAAATGTAACATTAGTAACTGTTGCACTGGGTGACATGTTACATTAGTAACTGTTGCACTGGGTGAAATGTAACATTAGTAACTGTTGCACTGGGTGACATGTTACATTAATAACTGTCGCACTGGGTGAAATGTAACATTAGTAACTGTTGCACTGGGTGACATGTTACATTAGTAACTGTTGCACTGGGTGAAATGTAACATTAGTAACTGTTGCACTGGGTGACATGTTACATTAGTAACTGTTGCACTGGGTGAAATGTAACATTAGTAACTGTTGCACTGGGTGACATGTTACATTAATAACTGTCGCACTGGGTGACATGTTACATTAGTAACTGTGGCACTGGGTGAAATGTAACATTAGTAACTGTTGCACTGGGTGACATGTTACATTAGTAACTGTTGCACTGGGTGAAATGTAACATTAGTAACTGTTGCACTGGGTGACATGTTACATTAATAACTGTCGCACTGGGTGACATGTTACATTAGTAACTGTGGCACTGGGTGAAATGTAACATTAGTAACTGTTGCACTGGGTGACATGTTACATTAGTAACTGTTGCACTGGGTGAAATGTAACATTAGTAACTGTTGCACTGGGTGACATGTTACATTAATAACTGTCGCACTGGGTGAAATGTAACATTAGTAACTGTTGCACTGGGTGACATGTTACATTAGTAACTGTTGCACTGGGTGAAATGTAACATTAGTAACTGTTGCACTGGGTGACATGTTACATTAGTAACTGTTGCACTGGGTGAAATGTAACATTAGTAACTGTTGCACTGGGTGACATGTTACATTAATAACTGTCGCACTGGGTGACATGTTACATTAGTAACTGTGGCACTGGGTGAAATGTAACATTAGTAACTGTTGCACTGGGTGACATGTTACATTAGTAACTGTTGCACTGGGTGAAATGTAACATTAGTAACTGTTGCACTGGGTGACATGTTACATTAATAACTGTCGCACTGGGTGACATGTTACATTAGTAACTGTGGCACTGGGTGAAATGTAACATTAGTAACTGTTGCACTGGGTGACATGTTACATTAGTAACTGTTGCACTGGGTGAAATGTAACATTAGTAACTGTTGCACTGGGTGACATGTTACATTAATAACTGTCGCACTGGGTGAAATGTAACATTAGTAACTGTTGCACTGGGTGACATGTTACATTAGTAGCTGTTGCACTGGGTGACATGTTACATTAGTAAGTTGAGTACATTAGTAATTGAGCATTGCGGTGCCTGCACGGCTTCTGTGGTCAGTGTAGCTGCTTCAGTTGATTATAAATGACCTTCTGCTGCAAGCATGTCATGTCAGCATGTTGGCAGACATGTCGCACCATGACCGTGACCCATGTACTGTATATTGGCTGTTAGCTAGACATGATAGCTTCCTCTAAAATGGTGGAAGCAGTGGTGGAATTTTAATTTGTTAGCCATTGTAAGTTCGCATACTTGTTAACTACCTCCTTCCTCTATGTCACGTTTTCTTTCTTTCTTTTTTTCCCCCTCAAAATAACTGGACATTTTTACATGTCATCTGTGCTCTCAGTTACAATAATATTAGTTTTCCATGTGAAAGTTTTACCTTACATGTTTAGACTTAAGTGGACAGACTGTATCTTTAGTAGAAATGGTAAATGTGATTTCTCACATGTTCATACATGAAAGCCATCTTGTTTAAAATATGCTTCAGTTAGTAATGACTGATGGATCAAATATATCAGATAGTTAGCAGTCAAATTATCATCATTGGATTCCGCATCGAATATTTGTGTCTCCATATTTTCTCTGCCAGGCTCTTTGGAAGTGGTCTTGGTCCGAATGTGTCGACTGTTTGACTCGCAGAACAACACTGTCTACTTTGACGGCAAGTTTGCAGGTCCTGACGTCTTCAAAGCATTAGGTGAGTTCTGAAAGACACTACTTCTTCTCTTGTTCCTAATGTTCTGTCACATTCTGAAATAACATCTCTTCCCTCTTGTAGACACACAGTGTACTTAGTTGAAGCCAAAAATGAAGTTCCTCTAACAGCCAGTCCCCATAAACAACCATGTTAAAATCTATGGGGTGTCGGTAGCGTAGTGGATAGTGCTGGCGCCCCATGTACAGAGGCGATGCCTCATTGCAGCGGTTGCATGTTCAACTCCGGCTTGCAACCATCTGCTGCATGCCCCCCCCCCCCCCCCCCCCCCCCCCCCCCCCCCCGGCGCTCTCCAACATTCTTGACAACTGTACTGGGGGGTGAACTTTTATAGAAATTGCCTTTTTTTTTTTTTTTATTAAGGCTTGGTCACTTCTGCCTCCAAAAAACCAAGATGGCAACTGCCAAGATGCCAAAGGCTTCAAAATGGGAGTTCACCAAAAAAAAAACCAAAAAAACATGCATGGAAAAATGCTGATCCCAGAACTCCGATCCAGTTTTTCATGGATTCCGATCCAGGTTTTTCAGCCAGCCCAGTGCTCCGTGATTCAAGCAGTCCATTCCAGTGATCCGCTCCAGCACTTACTATCAATCCACCAGGGCAGCACGCAGACACACAGGAAACAGCAGCACCAGGCTGGCACTGACACTACAAAAATAGCTGAAAAGGAAAGGCTGCATTGTTTGTTAAATGTCAACAATGTCTTGTGGTGTTGATCTATTTTTTATTTATTAGGGGCCAAAGCACGAGTGTGTGGTGGCTTGCTGCTATTTTAATTTCAGTGTTAGACATTTTAAAGATTTCTTGTGTTGATTTATTTTCTATTTATTAAGGGGCCAAAGCAGCCAAAGCAAACCAGCTATATTTTTTATTTAATGTTAATGTTCAAGTTTAAAGTTTGTTTATTTAACCCTGTTAACAATAAACAGGTCAGTTTCTCATACCAACTGTTGTGGATCATTCTAACTAACCCGATTAAGTTGTTCTTGTTAGAGTAATATCGCTTGATCAAACCTTTTCTAACATGACTGACAACAAAATAAGTGAATATATATAATACGCGCTTGGGTCGGATCGGTATCGGTATCGGCCAAAACTCAAGGCTGTAATATCGGTATCGGATCAGAAGTGATGGTAGAAAGATACTTGAACTCTACTCAAGTATTTCCATATTCTGCTATTTAATACTTCTACTACAATTCAGAGACAAATGTTGTACTTTTAATCCACTTAAGTTATTTGATAACCTTAGTTGCTTCAAAAGTATCGATACTCAAACACTGTATCCGGATACAATACTAATTTACAAAAGTATCGATACTAACAGTGCACGCCACCTCAGCGCCTGTCAGGTGCGCGCGACGGGTCCAATGGACACACGCTGTGCAGGCAGCATCTGGCAGGCACAGAGCCCTCGCTGCAACCCGGCTTGTTGTCGTCGCTGTGCATGCATCCACACATTTCCTGCTGGTGTTTGCTGACATGCTGACGTATTGCGGTACGTGAGTTGTGTCATTTCCAGTGTTTCTGTGACAGTGTCTCTGTACTGCTCTGGTGAATTCTACTAGCCTGCTTTCTCACTTCAGTTGCTTTAACGTTGCTTTAACGTCTACTCCAAGTCTTAACCCACACTGGTTCTGTTTAAGCACTTAGAGCTCTCCTCCTTTCTACAACTTTCTCACTAATCTCTTAGCTGTTGTTTGCACGTTACTAGCCTTGGTAGCTACATTAGCTTTACAGTTAGCGATGGCTTCTCCCTCTGCTCTTTCTTGCTCGGTGTGCCAAATGTTCAGTTATGCCTCTGCCTCCTTTAGCGACAGTGGTAATTGTAACAAGTGTAGCTTATTTGCTGCGTTGGAGGCGAGGCTTAGTGAATTAGAAGCGCGGCTCCGCACCATGGAAAACCATTCAGTAGCTGCGGTAGTTAGCCAGCCCCCTGTAGCCGGTGCGGAGCCACATAGCATAGCCTTAGCCTCTGCTAGCTGTCCTCCGATAACTCCTGTTCAGTCGGGAGGTTGGGTTATGGTTCGCCAGAGGCACAGCTCCAAGCCGAAGCCCACGGCTCACCACCAGCCTGTTCACGTTTCCAACCGCTTTTCCCCACTCAGCGACACACCCGCTGAGGATA